TGGGTAATCGCCACTGGCCGTTCCCTTCCCTCGGCCATCTTGCCTGGCGTGTAAAGAGAAAGTTGGTGGGGTATATCAACCAGCGGTCATCCCTTTCCCCTCGGCCGTTCCCAACTGCATTTATCTTGGTTGTGCGATAGTACAAAATACAAGATAGCAGTGAGTCCCACGCAGGAACATTGCCGTAGTATGTAACGGTCACCCAGTGTTACACGTTTTGGCCGTCATCAGACTTACCTCCTACATAATGGAACACCGTAATGGCACCGGGGATAAAACTCCCCGTACAAACCGCAGTTCCCCAGGTGACAAGCCGTAAGAGTCCCACAGTTAAAAAGGCCGCATCAAAGGCCACCAGTGGTCCCAAGGGTAAGACCCAAAAAGGGACCACTATTCACTCGATCACACTGCCGGTCTCCGGACCATTGGCGTTACCTAGCAACCCGGCGGCGATCTCCTGAGGTTCCACTGGAGTTTCTTTGCCTCTTCCCCCAGTCTGCTGGCTCCAGCAACCCTCGGGGACGACCAGTCACGGAGCTGTAAAAGGATTCAATCATCACCGGCCCCGTCTGTGAGTTCATCGCGCTCCGAACTTCCAGCTTCCACCCGTGCGGAATGGGCAGTCAACGTCATTCTTTGATCAATGCTCCGGAATTCCGAGTATATTGTCGGAGTTTTTACAGTCAAGTGATTCAAGTCACCCAAGTAAGAAAAGGAAACACAAGGCAGCGCCGTCTTCTTTAGGGGATTTCCGGCCATGATTGGGCGCCCCCGAGATCGCAGGTGGGAATTTCTTTACACCCATCTATGAATTTGGGTACTTCTGTTCAAGATGTTCCTGACATAGATGTCGATAGTGCTCACCCCCCTTCCACTCACTCGCAAGACGTGTGTTCTGGGGATGAAGAGGCCACTGACCCTGGTAATTTTTCTCAGCTGAGGCTGGTTCAAAGAGATATGGTTCGGGTACTGCAACTGCCAGAGAGCAGTAAGCCAGAGACCACCTGTCGTTCTATCAAATGCCGGACTGGCGTGGAGGAACCTCTGGATCCAGTGATATAGATTGTGTTTCTGGATGATCTGGCCGAGTGGTAAAATGTAGATGGTGAATAACATGGGACCGCCAACAGATCCCTGAGGAACACCACAGTCAAGGGAGGTAGGGCAGATAATACTCCATTGAAGTTAACAGACTGTTGCCGGTCTGCAAGGTATGAGTGAAACCACTGCAAGGCTGCATCGTGCACTCCCAAAGAGTGCAAGCGACTGATCAGGATGGCGTGATCTATGGTGTCAAATGCTGATGACAGATCGAGAAGCACAAGCGCCATTACTTCGCCAACATCCATCTGTCGTAGGATGTGGTCGCGGATAGATGAACAAGTAATGTTTCTACATTATGGTTCTGACGATATGGTATAGGGTCCAAGCCACATGATTTTGCTGGGGATTTGAAGATGACAGTGCGAATCTCATCTTGAGAGGCGAAACGGAGACTGGTCAGTGTAGTTTGTGTTGGCGGGTACGTGGGGGTAGAAGTATCTGTATCTGACACAAGGGGAGGTAGTGCATCACGAATCAAAGAAATCTTGGACGTGAAAAAAACGCTGAAATGGTCAGCCAGTGACTTGTCAGAATTGTACTTAGGTAAAGAAGATTCCTTATTCCTATGGAGAAGCTTGTTGGTGGCAGGAAACAGTTGTTTTTGATCACCGGAACACTTGGAAACTATTTCTGAGTAATGGGTTCTTTTGGCCTTACGGATCAGCGAGATCACATGCTGGCATTGTTGGTGATGTAGTTGGCGGTCAATCTCGAGTGAGGATGCATGCCACCTGTGCTCAAGCTGTCTTCATCTGTGCTTAGCTTGGAACAATCAGTGTACCAACCGGTGGGTTTAGATCTCACAGACAGGTCGCACTAAAAAGCGTCAACACAGCGTCAACACAGCGTCAACACATGACAGAAGCGTCAACACACTGTCAACACATCCAAAACACATTCTGAATTGACCAAAAAAGGTATAGAATGGCAAAGCATAGAATAAAACAGAATTTCCAGTGGATTGAGTTTCCATTTAGTTGTTAAAAATATAGTATTTTCACGCAAAAAAATGACCTTTAACTTGCGCGGCCGTTCTCCGCCATCTTGACTTTGCACAAAGCTTTGATTATACCATTTCAAGTAGGGGTGTGTAGGTTATGACATTACAACAGAGGGCGCCTTGATGCAGAAGGATGCACTCTGATCTGTGAGAGACTGAGGGACTGAGGTTTATTGAACGATGCTCTCACCCTTTAGCATAATGGAATGGTTCGTGCTGCCACTGAGGCAACATGGCAGCCGATCTCGGAGCGGCACGGAGAGCCAATTTTCTTGAACTGAAAATTGCAATTTTCAGACGTTTAACCTATTGATTTTAAGCCAAAATCTTGTTTCTTTCCATACTGTATGGGTTACATACTGCTTTTGTCACTTTTAATGCATTTTGGATGTGTTGACGATGTGTTGACGCTATGTTGAAGCTTTAGTATGACAGTCACAGACTGATGTGGATAAACCAAGTTTTGTGTGCATTTACATACCGGGCTGGTGAATTTTGATTGAAGTAATCAGGGTGATGGGGTCCGTCTTGACTTGATGTGCGATTTCCAATTACAATGGGTATGTCAAAGTTGAAGTAAGTCGATCGGCGCCTACGTATCCCAGCCTTGCATCCACAACGAGTGCGCCAAAAACAACAGGTTTTTGGCTGGTGGATAGATTGGACATGTTCTGGGTCCAATATCACTGCAGATTTCAGCAGCAAGAGGACATGGACGGCAAAGATCGAGTCCATTATTGAAGGAGGCCCAACGGTGTATTGGCGAATATCTGCCTCGCTGGGATGAAGCAGGAGCCCTTGAGGAGTCCATTGGCAGATGCAGTGGCATTGTTGAATTAAATGGGAGACAACATTGGTTCATTAGCATATCAAGTGCTGCACTGGTGCTGGAGGAACATCCAATTGTTACCAGCAGAAGGTGTGATCTACTAGTCACAAAAGATACCTGACGTCTTGGTGCGCAGAAAAACTGCTAGAGCCCCAAATGCACAGGAAAGAAAGGAAAAACTCCCTTAAAATGCTCCCAAACCAGATGTTACATATATTCTGGCTCACCATATTAATCAGTTTGCGCTAAAGTTCAACTTGACATGAAGACATGACTGGAAACACCGCTAAGAAAGAGGAAATCAGTACATTGGTGGAGAGCATGATGAGGAGCCGCCAGTTAGTAGCGCTGCACTCTATAACATTACTCAGGTCAATACAACAATCAACAGCCACACAGTAGCCAAGGCTGTTTGACAATGCCAGCCACTTGCAGACAATACTTTATAAGGTCAATACAACAATCAACAGCCACTCAGTAGCCACAGCTGTTTGACAATGCCTGCCACTTGCAGACAAAACTTTATAAGGTCAATGCAACAATCAACAGCCACACAGTAGCCACAGCTGTTTGACAATGCCTGCCACTTGCAGACAATACTTTATAAGGTCAATACAACAATCAACAGCCACACAGTAGCCACAGCTGTTTGACAATGCCAGCAACTTGCAGACAATACTTTATCTGGTCGATACAATAATCAACAGCCCCACAGTAGCCACAGCTGTTTGACAATACCAGCCACTTGCAGACAATACTTTATCAGGTCAATACAACAATCAACAGCCACACAGTAGCCACAGCTGTTTGATAATACCAGCCACTTACTAATTGCTGACAATACCAATAGGCCCCCACCCAAAAAGTTCTGCTTCCAATTACATGGCATTTGAAAACAGGGTAATAGGTAGGGGGTCTTTTTTGGAGGGGTGGGGGATTTTTTGACAGGGATCATGTTTCAGTCAATACCAAACACCAACTGTGGACAGCACTTTGTCAAGTCAGTCCTTCTGATTTGAGGCGTGCGATCACACCCCCACACCATCGCACACCTAAAAGCTTCCCGCGAAGTGTGAACAATTGCATGCCTGAATTTCCCTGGACCACAGATCACACACCTAAAAAGTCACACACCTAGAAAATCACACACCTAGAAAAGTCCAGGTGTGCCTTTTTCCACACGCCTGTGATTTTCAAATCAGAAGGACTGTCAAGTCAAAAACAGTCAACAGCAATTTAGCACAAACAGCTGTTTTGACAGGGATCATGTTTCAAACAGTCAATACCAGCAACTTACTGACTACGACAGTACTTTAACAAGTCAATAACAGTCAGCAAATATTCATTATCAACAACTGTTCTACGGGTCACAGTTGGTCAAGTCATTCTCATGACCAGTTACTTAAGCAGTCAAAACTTGTCAATAATGTAGTTCTATGCATAGAATTCCATCGGGTCAAAAAACGGTCACCTGACTGATTTTGACCCGAGTAACAGCATGGCTGAGTATGCATGTTTGCATCGGAGGGTTCTAATGGGCCAATCACATAAGTTTATGGATGTTGCATATAAAGGTAAAAGATGAGCTAGTATTTTATCTCTTTTTTTTCACTGCTAGGAAAAAGGTGCTTAGGACAAAATCAGTTTCTAATAGGCACTTCCAGTTACATTATTAAGCCATTTTACATTGTTGTCAAACGAGAATATCAGTTTTCAAAATGGCTTCAAATTTATGATGTGATTAGGGTAATGTATACACAGGGAGAGACATTTTGTGACAAATGTCCAGTCTGTATGTACGTTTAAATCCTCCTTATAAAATATCAAATAATTCTTCACAACGACTCTGAGTTTTCTAGGTTTTGACTGGGTTATCATTATTAAGAAATATCTGAAAGGTAGAGCAAGAGGTGGGAGGGGGGAAAGAAATGTTCGAATTAACCCCACAAGGCAGTGCCCCACTACCAGCACTCATTATTTGTGGGAGAACATAGAAGAGCGCCAGATCACTCCTTTTTGATTACTTGTTTCTGCTTATTCTTTAGGTACATGTAACTAAAAACTAACCTCAAGAATCAGTAATGGGTAGCCCAGCAAGCAGGTCATCCGTTCATCTGTCTGTCCTCCTCCCTGCTTCCGGTTCCTCGGGTTTCTGTTTGATGAGGCTGTCGGAGCCCTGACAATGTCTTGAGGCAGGCTCATCCTCATCTCAGTAGAGCAATTCCCTCATCAGTCAGTGGTCCTCACTTTGCTGAAAGGATTCAAATAACGAAAGGAAACATTTGAATTATTGAGCTGTATTCGTGCCAGGGCTCTAAAGGGGAAAGAAAGCATTGAATTAACCCCACAAAGCAAAGCCCTGCTACCAGAACTCATTTGTGGATAAACATAATAACAGAGTCAGATCGCCCATTTAAATTTGTTCTGTGACTTGATTGTTCCTGTTAAGAGGAGGCCTATACACAGCCTAAAAGCAGAACAGGAAGGGGACAGACCTCATTTATCCCAGGACAAACCAATAACACCAGTAAATAAAGATGTGCTTCAAACCATGTTACAAGGCTATGATGGCATTAAGTACAAATTCTTAATTCATGGTTTTACAATTGGTTTTTAGGTTTTACAGGCAATCAAAATTTAGGACATCAACGAATTTAAAAATCTGCTCTTCAAAATCCAAAAGTGGTTTCTGAAAAACTAGGGTTAGAGCTTAGACAAGGTAGGCTCGCAGGGCCGTTCCAAGACTTGCCACTTGATAATTTTTGCGTTAGCTCGATTGGTTTAGTTCCTAAAAGCCAGCCTGGTTCATTTTGAATAATTCATCATTTGTCTCATCCTAAACATGGTTCCGTAAACGATGGAATACCAGATTGCAACGCAACAGTCAAGTATGCGTCAACGGAGGACACAATACTAATTTTGAAGAAAGTGGGCCCAGGATGTGTGCCATCTAAACTAGATATAAAGTGTTAACCATTTATTCTGGAATAGTCCATATTCTGGATGATTTTCTAATCATTTCAACATCTCATCAACAGTGTGTGCATGATTTGGTCGGATTTCAAACACTGAGTAATAAGCTGGGTATTCCCCTTGCACCAGAGAAAACTGAAGGGCCTACAACCTGGCTAACATTTGCCAGGATCGAACTAGATACAATACGGTAACAATGGCCGCGCGGTTACCGCCGGACAAATTACAAAATCCATCGTTAAAATTATCAAAATCTATTATGTACACCATTTCATACTGACATTTCAAAGACATACACAATCAGTTTTTATTGAAATTTTCGAAATGAAAAGTATAGCATTTGAGAACGAGTTTAATGCAAACTTTGAATACATATTTTGATAGGAAATCAAGCACTGTATATTTTGCATGCGGGGGGTGTTAAAATACCACCTGAGGAATCATATTTCTTCATATACAGGTCTCTTTTTGTTTCTAAAATAAAACTCACCACAAGAATTCCAAAGAGCATTCACGGTAGTGGTCACAAGGCCGCGGGTTGACGGCTCTGGTCAAGTCCGTAGCTCGGCACCTCGGGTCAAGGCATGGTCGATGACTCGGGCCAGTCCGTAGGATGACAACCATTAATGGGGAGCGGTGTGGATTCAGAATATGTTTGAGTTGAAAGAAGAACGGAACAAACAAAATTCATCTGGAACACAATTTAAGTCAGTTAACGGTTGCAATGCATATGAACAGGATGCATCAAGAACACGGCAGTTTTACGCATAAAAAAGTACGCCCTCTGTTGGCGAGATGGAGTTAGTGGTAATACCACGTGACAATCTAGCGCGATGTAAATAAACATTACGCGCAGCGATCCCTTTGTTTCGTTGTTGGATTTAAATACCCCGCGAAAGATATAAAGATTGATTGGTTTATTAAAATGAATATGCAACAGATTACCAAATAAGGCTCTACAAACCATCAATGAAGCTATGTACGGTCGACAGTTGCCATCTAGCGTGCACAAATTCTGATAATGTGTGTTTTTTATGAAGCTTGTGACTTGTGACCTGGTACGATTAAGCGTTTTCGTGCCGTCATTTCCACTTCGAGAAAACATCATTTTTAAAGTAAAATGCAGTTTTGTGACGCATACTTGGTCAATCTATCAATAAATGGGTTATCTAGGTTCACATTGATATGGACGAAAGGTTTGGGTCGACATGCTTTCGTGAGATTTTAGCCAATACTGAGGGTGAATAAAACAGGAATTCGTCAAGTCGCGACGTACGAAGTGTACATGCAGTGTCATGGCGTGACGAGTGGCCATGTTTTGGCATGATTTCGGAGATTCAGATGGAAATCTCAAAGGTAAGCCTACAGGTTATGTATTTACTCTGCTCAGAAGATGTAGTTTTTGTAGTTTCTCCTTGTTTTTAGCCTGCGACACAAGGATTTTGTGTACGTACGCCGCGCCATGACAGGAAGTCATTACAGTAATGTCGTACATGAAACAGTCGTAGCGTAGGCGCCTTGAGCTATCCCACAGCACGCACTTTTGGACGACGCAACGACTCGTGTATGTAGAAGACTTTCATCTAAGAAATATTTCTGCCCAGTGTGCCTTGCTAGTTGCAATTACCCAGAAAATCGTATTCGTAATAAATAATCACAATGCATTCCTTAATCCTAACAGTCCTGAATCCTCCAATTTCAATATGATTTTGACATTTCATGTATAGTCAGCGTGGTCAGGATTTGCTGGCATGCATCATGCAGGAACATGATGATGGAGGAATGGAGGTCATTCTTTGCAGGCAGGAGCCTGACATTGCTCATTTAATTAATGTTCTTGAAAACTTCTCAAGGAAACTGTGTACTGTATGTTCTAAATGCGTAAACAAAGGATTTGACATGTAGGCCCTACATGTAGGTTACATTGCCAGGGCCGTCATTAGGCTTTTCTTTTTCGCCCTCAGTCATATAATTGTAGAGTATTTTTTCCATTAATTTCAAATTTGACCTGGGACTAAAATGACTTGAGACTTAGTTGACATTGGACCGACTTTATACATTTGTAAAAATCTTGAAAATAACCTGGCAATAATTTTCAACAGAGACTTTTGAGACGCTTCCTTTTACCTGTCCTTTTCATTTTTCTTACGTCACATTTAACCTAATGTGCACATGTTCAAATTGACGTCAACACCAGAAAAGGACTGGTGTATTTGCTGCCACCATGCATCTCAAAGTATCCCATTAACTTTGTTCCATTTGTTATATTCTTGTTGTGCTTTCAGGTTTTGAAGAGTTTCTTCCTATTTCTGGATTGAAGATGGCAACGACATGCATGGCCGCGTATAATGGACGAGCTTTGCATTCCTCCGCATCTGATCTGTACTACCCACCCATTGCGATTGAACTCCGTATCAGTTCCTGACCATGCCATGAAATGGCCATGTTCATTCAAACAGCCCAACCCCCACTCTGAACCTTTCTAAATAGTCCATGGTGTGGAGTACATGTACATGTATTTTTAGTGTGATCTGAATTGGGAGTGGTAGGTGTAGTCTGTTCGCTGCCTCCCTGTCCCAGATGCTTGAATAACATAGTTGACGTAAACATTTCATATATAAATGAATATCTTACTGGCGGGGGGGGGGGGGGGGGGGGGGGGGGGGGGGTTGAGAGAATTGAGATAGTTTGGGAATTTAGGAGATAACTGACATCCCCACAGTGCGACACTTTTAGAGCGCACCCATGCATTTTTGGTTTCACGAACTGACACTGATCTTAATTTTACCAATTAAATCGCTTTTTAATGAAAAATTTGTACATGTATAATCACACAAGTACACGGATAGATGTATTGCTGCATCATGCTTGGGTGTCAGTTCGTGAAAACAAAAATGTACCGGGTGCGCTCTAAAAGTGCCGCACTGTGGCGGATGTCAGTTTGTAAAACCAAAATATCCCCGTTCTGTAAACACGCGCGCGTACAGTGCACACACGGATGCGAGAGTGTCGTTCGTAGTGACGGTGACAATCTGTACCTGATTTCACGACACTTATTGTAACCTACAATGCATCGTTGTATCCCTAGGATGACGCATCCTGTGATTCATTTCACAAAATATGCTGTAAGTGCGACACGTCGTAGTGTATTCAAAGGACAAAAGGTGACTACATGTACATGTATTTTCATTTTATGTATTTATTCAAAGAACAGTAAATAGTCGTCGAAAAGTCAACAAAGAGTCGTCGATTGTACTTGTGAAAACTTTTCTAAAATATTTAACAAAATTGACGATGTATGATGCATTCACACTGGAAAAGAACTTCACAGTGGACTGTGTTTGCATCAAATTGTGAAGTGATGTGCTTTGTAAATCTGGTGCAGGTCATCCAGGTACGTGTACACGTACATATGTGAAATTTTAATGAAGCGAAAATTTGAAACCTGAAATTGCCATCACCACCACTCATGAAATAGTGCAGTTGAACTGCAAGCTCCTTTCTCCAACAAAATATTAATAATAAATAAATATAAAAAAAAGCCTTTACTGTCTTCAGGTGTGAGGGTATGCTTAAATCCATTTGCCCTTTCATAAAGTTGAATTTTTGAATCACTTTCTTGAATCAACTGCAACTACCCTATTTAATTTTTCAGACTTTTCATAGTTTTATCACTTGCCAAACCTGATTTCACTGGTGAGTTCATGCCTGCATTACATGTGCACTTTATTTACTTGTAAAATATGGCTGTTGTGAAGTTTCACTTCTGTAAATGAAACTTTTTTTTAAAAATGATATGGATCGGTTGTGAAATAAAAAATGCGATTATTGCCAAACAAAAACCTATTTGTTATTGTTTTGTTTAAGCTATAGATCCAATTAATTGTCAGCAACTATAAAGTGTCTCATACTGATGGCCAATTCATGCTTGGTTTTGGATTGTGCTGCTTTAATATGCTGTACAAACACTCACTCACTCACTCACTGTACAACACTAAACATTTGTGAATTTCGGATTGTGTGTTTATTTTGTCCAAAGTGAGTGTTTTCATCTAAAGACAGATGGTTCTTTATTTCTATGTAATCTGTTTTGCATTTTATGTATTTTTAAATTTTATTCAATGTCTTGCGATTGTCCGTAAA